TCCAGCCATTTGAAATTCAGTGAAATGTCCTGTACCCACCAGAAAAATAGCAGTGTAGAATCTTGATTGCCAGGTCACTGGACCTCCCCTCACCATCAGTTGGTGTCCTGATTTATACATCAACAGCACATAAGTTCGATTCCTGTGATTCAAGTCTCTAATATGATCACTCAGGTTGAATCAATCAAAACACATCTCCCTACAGGCAAGTCTGACGTCCAGATCTCAGGTCATTCGGACACCAGCCACTCAGTCTTGCTCCCAACCTCCTGGCCACAGGGTAGAGATCAGAAGGCAGAGAAACAAGATTCTTGATCTTCTCCAGATTCTTGTAATGCATGTTGAGAAAAGCTATCCAAAAATGAAAAATAAGGCAAAACTGTTTCTTTGTGTCTTTCCAAGCTGTATTAGAAAATTGTCTAAGTTCATTTGCAGGTCATTTGATGCTCTAAGGCAATACTACACAAAATAGAATGTGGGTCACATACGTAATTTTACGTTTTCTAGTAGTCACATGACACAAGTACAAAGAAACATGAGTTTAAGTTTAATAATATATTTTGCTTCACTCAATATATCCAAACTATCACCATTTCAACATGTAATCCGTATTTTTAAAAATACGATGGTTTATATTCCCTTTTTTTCACATCGCGAGGCTTCCAAATCTAGTATATTTTACATTCGTAGAATATTCCATCTCAGTCTAGCCACCTTACAGGTGCTCCCTGGCCACATAAGACCAACAGCTACCATTCTGGACAGCACGGCTTTGGCAAAGGTAACTTTGACTTCATAATTACTCTTTGATTACACCCAAAGTATGTAAAATTAGACAGTGACATATAGAGGGTTGATACATTAATAAGTGTTTTGTCCAGTAGAGAGGCATATGAACTCTTTTCAGTAGAAAAGCCAACCCTAAAAGTGATGATTGTATTGCTTAATAGAACATTAACCAGTTTTGTATTTTTCCACCTTCCTGCCTTTTACCTTCTCCTGCCTAAATGCGTATTTCATTCTCCTGTGTCCTGCTTTCACCCAACTTTGCCATCCTGCTTGCTCCCTTGCCAATGACATAACATTCTTTGACCCAGGCAGGAGCTCACTCTAAACAGTACTTGTATGAGACTTGTGTTTTTAACCTCTTGAAAAGCATACTTTGACGCTCGGTTCATCGGTTTGTTCCAAGCGCTCTAAACCAGAACCTTTAGAAACCATTCTAAAACTCGGGAGATAGAAAACTTTTTGACTGTCAACCTTACAGTGACCTTAGATCTGGCAGGTGGGTCACAGAGTCTCGGGCTTTGAAATAAGATGGGACAAGCCCGTGAGCCACCAAAAGCCTATTAAAATTACCTCCAGGGGAAAATTCAGGTGAAGGGTGTGGTCTTCCCCCTCAAAATTGATGGCCTTAAGGGGGGCCAACAATAAACTGAGGACAGACATACTGCAATGCGGTCAATTGTGTATTCTTGCATTTACACACATTCTGGATATTACAGGTTGGCTGCTTTTGTTTCATGTGCTTTGGGTCTGGAAAGCTGGTGAACAGAGCTAATTACGCAGAGCCGAATGTCCAGTCCAAAAGGCTGTCACAGCCTTTTGGACTGGACAGAGGGTGTGGGGGAGAGACGTGAACAGCGAGAAAAACATAAGGACAGTGAGGGGGGTTGCTGGAGCAGGTGCACAGACGCTCCCTTTACCAGGCCAGGATAGGGTTCTGTCTGCTTTTGAAGGTAGCTAACCTGATATTAATGAACCTTGTTACAGGCCCCAACTGGGAGCGAGTAAAACCTGCTCTTTCCTCGCTCCCGAGGGATGGGGCTCTAATAATACCAGCCGCCCTCCTGGCCTGCCTGCCCAAGGGCGTAAAGTGTTCGTGCTTGGGTCCACCTTGAGGTTGATAATAGAGGGCCGCCTGAGAAAAAATATGCAGGAAAGAGATTCAGGAGAGTGGCCTAAAGAAGACTGTAGGCCCTCCAGTCTGTTTGCTTGCTTTTTAGCCCCACAAACAAATAACCCAGTCTCTGCAGGCAAATGGCCAACGATTAGGGGGGATCAGACCTGAGCCAAAATGTTTCCCCCACCAGCCCGTGGGGCACTTTAAGGGCTGAGACCACGGTTTCTCTATGTTTATCCCCGGACACGTCCTTAAAAGACATTAGTGCTTAATAAATGCATCGGGAGTATCACCAATGGAACGACACATTCCAGAATATATTCACCTGACATTTTGGAATTGCTCTTAGGACCACATAAGTGACGCAGGAAACTAGCTCATTCATTGCCACCTCACTCTTTAAGCGTGTTTTCAAATGACTGTAAGCTGTTTCAGAAGTCAAACCTACCCTCAAGAGGATTTCTCAACAGTGAGATTATATACATTTTTACAGCTTCCTAGTCTAGGTCTCTAATAAAGGCAGTGATAATGCACAAGATGCAGACATATTTTAGGCAATAGCCTTCATCGGAAGGAGGGTATAGCCTCACTCAGTGACTGTTTTGGAGGAAACACGGACGTACAAGTTTTGATAGATTTGTTAGGATGTGTTATTGCCATCACGATGCCATGCATGAGCTTCCCACACACAGGGCACTTGTTAAGCAAAAGACACTGGAAGAGATAATAAAAGCAAAGATCAGCCCAGCAAACTGGTGGGACAGTCAGAGACAAGCATAAATATCATGCTGTGTGATGAATCTGGTGGGAAAGACCAAAACCACTGAGAAAACGGAAGAATAAAAACATTAAACTGTTACTGTGCTGGTTACACCTTCGCCTTCAAATCCTTACCAAACCCACTGGGAAAATAAGACATTCGATTTCAGCCTAGATCAGTGGTTCTCAAACTTTAGATTCCAGGACTCCTTTACACTCTTAAAAATTAGTAGGGCGCCCCCCAAATCTCATTAGTGAAGGTCACGAATATAGACATATGAACCACTTTAGAAATTAAAACTGAGGATTAAACTAATAATGTATGGGGCGCCTGGGTGGCGCAGTCGGTTAAGCGTCCGACTTCAGCCAGGCCACGATCTCGCGGTCCGTGAGTTTGAGCCCCGCATCGGGCTCTGGGCTGACGGCTCAGAGCCTGGAGCCTGTTTCCGATTCTGTGTCTCCCTCTCTCTCTGCTCCTCCCCCGTTCATGCTCTGTCTCTCTGTCCCAAAAATAAATAAACGTTGAAAAAAAAATTAAA